AATGGTTTGTCCAGAAGACATTTGAAGTTGCTCTCAATGCACATTGACGTTTGTCCAGAAGATATTTGAAGTAGCCCTCAAAGCATATTGGCTTTCCCCCAAACCATTTGGGTATGGTTCCAAAGTGAACTGGCTTGTCCTGAAGGAATTTGGACTTGCCCCAAGAGCATACTGGTTTTCCCAGGATGGATTCAGGTTTGATCCCAGAGTATATTTGTTTGCTCCATTGGAATTTGAATTTGGCCCCAAGGCTTTCTGCCTTGCCCCCAAAGCCACTGAATTTCTCATCAAAACATTGGGGTTTACTTGGAATTCACAGGCGGTATTCCCGAAACCACTGGAACTTGCTCAAGTGATATTTGAGTTTGCTCTCAAAGTATATGGGACAGCTTTTTGGGTATCTAGGTTGGCTTCTTGAGCATTTGAGTTAGTCACAAAGTAGAAGCTTTGGTTGCCTCTTCCTCCTCAGTAACTTTCAAATCTACCGGTAGGAACAGATTTTCTTTCCCTAACCACAGTATTAGCTTTATTTTTACTCTGTTGTTGTCTTCCAGGATATTCTTTAGGAAGTGCCATTTTAACTTCACAATGGCTGGAGCCAATGTAATGGAACCTGGTTTCTAAGACCTTTCTAAAAGGCTTTTTCCTCCATGTATTTGATAAAACCAAAAGCTCTTCTTTTCTTTGTATCTGAACACAATGGAAGTTCAATAGCTTCTATCTGCCCAAATGTGCCAAAATAGGATCTTATTTTTTCTTCAGACATCTGAGGGGTCAACCTACCAACAAAAATCTTTTTGATGGGGAATTGAGATTCAATGGCTTTAGCCCTTTTAAACTCTACTTTCTTACCATCCACTTTGTGGTCTTTCACTTGTAACACCTTCACTACAGTAGAACTATCTTCAAAAAGCACGAATCCAAATCCCCTGGAGAGTCCGGTAGTTGGGTATCTTTTTATGATAAAATCAATTATCTCACCGAACTGAGACAAGTATTCCAGAAGTGCTTGCTTGTTCAATTCTGGGGAAAGTCCCCCCATAAATATCTTACTGGCATCCTGTTCACTTTTGGTGGCATTGATTCTGACTCCTTCAGGAAACTGGTCTCTTTCATTGTACTTTCTTGCAGCAATGCTGGTTGTATTCATGGTAAATAGGTTGAATGGCGTTGACTTGGCTGTTGGTAAAAAAAAAAATGGCTGAGGCACAAATGTCGACGGCATTGCCGTCTTCAAGAAGTAAGGAGAATTGTCACAAAATAATGACGAAATAGAAACAAGCTTGGTGACTCGAATCAACACAGGGACTATTTCGGGTTCTAAACTGGGTGGGGGGCAGGGGAATGAAAAGTGCCTAATTTTAACTGCAAAGGTGTTGATTATTCTCATGAAAATAGGAGGCATGCCTACAAACTTTGTTTTTGCACTCATAAGGCCTATGTAAGGGACAGTTTGCTGTAAAAGGAAGCAATTTTCATTCGCTTTCCTGTCTTTTCAGATTATATCTCTTTGAATTTATGTTAAAACTTTTTTTGTTTTCTGGAAAGGGCCTTAAATGTCCATGAAATCACCAGTTCATTGTATCCTTCAGGTAAGTTTCACATTCATCTTTAACCATTTGAGTGATTGAGATGGAAAAACAATGTAGATTTGAAACATTTTGCAGGGGAAAAGAATGCCTATTTGTTTGTACATTATACAAAAAGAATCCAAAGAAAGAATTTAAAATCAGAGTTTCACTGAGATTCATTTATGTAATTCATCCTTTTAATATGTTAAATGTATTAAAAAACTATTCTGTCATTACAATAATCCATCTCATAAATACACTCTCCTCCAAAATTCATTTTATTTAAAGCATCACTCCTTATTTCTTCATTACCCACTCAATAGTATGAGTGATTTTTCTCTTTTACTTATCGTACCTAAATGCTTTCAAGATGTACCTATGCTGTAGTATATATTAATATTTTATATTTATTCCTTGTGTTGATATGCTATATTTTGTTTTAACATTTTACATCAACTTCATATATTTCACTTGGCAGTTTGGCTTTGTTCCATTTTCCACAGATGCATCACACATACTCACATGCCACACAAATAATCATGGTATTTGTTTTTTTTTTTTTAATCTGACACTCATTTTTTTTCTTTTTAGCATATTCAATAAGTATCAACCTCACATTTTGCTATTCTGATGAGAAAGCATTTAATATCAGAGAAATTTCTCAAGACCAAAGCTCAAATTTTAGGTACTTATTTTTTGCCTATTTCTGTCCTTGTCACTATCAATTAGGTATAATGAAGTACTTTATGTCTGTCACTTGCTCCTTCTAATATTCGTTTCTTTGAGGAAGGAGATTTTAAGTGTCTCCATTACTTTCACCACAGCTTGTGTATATAATCATCCTCAAGCAATTTTTGCAATAATTTCATGTTTATGGCATCAGTTCTATGTTCAAAATAATGGCCACCTACCTTCTTTCTCCAAACTAAAAGCTTAAATATTAATCATAAAGCATAATTTTGAGACAAGAAAGGAAGAAAGTTACATTCCGAAAATACTCTCAGCTCTAGACATTTGCAGTTATCCACATGATGGACTTCATTCTAGGCTCCCTCCTATGTATGATACAACAGTTGGGACAAATGTAGATTGAAAAATGTTGCATGTTGAGATAAAATATGATTTCATAATATGCTGATGAAAAGCTAGGGATCAATTTCCTCAAGGATGTTATTTTGCTAAGTGTCTCCAGGAAATGTCTGTTTAAAATGAATAAATAAATAAAGCTTCATTTTTCCAATAATCATTTTCCTATTAGAATCAAAAAAAATCTTATAATGACCCATCCACATGGTATAAAGTAGCACTGAACCCTATTTTCGATCACTTATCTCCCCATGGACAAATGTCTTTTCCAGATAGTTATAGGACAAATCAGCTTCAGAACTCATTAAGTTTCAAGGCCCCAATTCCTAGTAAGAGACTTTTGTAATCAATAAAAATATTTTATAGGTGTACTAGTAAATGTTTTCTAGAGAAATAGAACTTACAGAATGAGTCTCTCTCACTCTCTCTCTTTCGTAAAATGAAATGCATATGTTTGACATACTTGGTCTACTTGGTTGTTTGATAAAATGAGATTTTTCCTTTCTCTTTTTCCTCTTCACTTTCCAAACAGATACATGTAATAATACACACACACACACACACACACACACACACACACACATATATATATATATATATATATATATATATATACAGAGAATGAGAGAGAGAGAGAGAGAGAGAGAGAGAGAGAGAGAGAGTTTATTAGAATGGGTCATAGGATGTGATCCAGCTAATCCAACAATGGCTGACTGAACAGAAAACCCAAGAATCTAGTAATTTCTCAGTCCATGAGGCAGGATGTCTCAACTGGTCTTCTGTAGTCTCTGGAATCTGAAAAAAGTGGGTTCTAATGCCAGTGATGGAATGGACTTGGCAAAAAGTTGAGAGAAAGCTGGTAAAGAGGAAAAGCTTCTTTCTTTCATGTATTTATATAGGAATTCAGCACAAAGTATCATATTAAAGGTGTTTCTTTGTGCCTCAAAATCCAGACTAAAGGCATTTATATTCCTGTCTCAAAAATCTGAACATGAAGTATATTCACCTACTTCAATCCAATCCAAAAACAAAACAAATCTCTCACAGGTGTACCCTCCATTTTTGGACTGTAGTTAAGGGTTGATCTAATTGACAAAAAATAATAGCCATCACAACCATACAATGGTGGTATATACCTTTAATCTCCATACTTGGAAGGCAAGGGTTGGTAGATCTCTGAGGTCTCAGACAAGCTGCTCTACAGAGAAAGTCCCAAGACAACTGGGACTACAAATAGAAACCCTGTCTTGAAAAATTGAAAAAGAGAAAAGGAAATAAAAATTGCCATCAGAATATTTATCTAGTATAGGTCTTCTAGGCTCCCTGATGTTGTCTGTAGTTAAATGAGCTAAATTTTATGATGTTAAATGTAGATGTTTCATTCTCTGTGAATTATCTTCTCTTTGATTTAATAAATATTCTGTTTTCATACATAACAGAAAAGTATAATAATGAAAATAAGGAGCAATGCTGTCATTAAAATTGAACTCTAAGAAAAATAAGTTACTTCATAAGGTAAAAAACTAAAATCATTTAGCAAAAATTCCCTGATCATACTTTGATTATCAGATATTTTAATCTCCTTCTACTTATATTTTAGAACCTTGTCCATATCATTTTACTTTTGTTTGTTTGCTGAATATCATTCCTCACAGTTTTTTATCTTTTGTTTTTCAATTTTTCTTGTTGAACATCTATCTTCATTTCATTTGCTTAACTTTTATAGAGTTCCCCAAAAGCCTCTTCTTTAGAATCTGTGCTAAGTTTTCTATATGTCAGTATTACACAACTTCTTTTTTTTTTCAGTACCTTTAAGTATTTATTAGAGACAGTATAAAAACCTTAAATTAACCACATGTGTTTTGCACTGGTAAGAATCTTACATGTTTAACAGAGTTAGTTGGATAATTTATAATACATCCATCCTCTAAAAAAATCTTTTGAGCTGGGAGGTCTCCTGCAGCCTGAGTTAGAGCAGAATGCCCTGACTTTTTTTTTTTTTTCCCAAAGTGCTAGGCTTACAGCTCCACTATGCCTTGTTTAGGAGAAAACCATTACAACTTTTCAAATAACATTTAAGGAACAAGGTAGACAACACACTTATCTTAATATGTAATTTTGTATCATTGTAGCTGAAACTTCTTATTCAGTGTCTGATTTATGCGAACACTCAGTGAATTTTTTTTACAGTATTATAATTTGAATAGGTGCCAAATGTCCTGTTCCCTTTCTTCAACCGGGATGAGAATATTTCTTTTCCAAATCACTTGAAGCTTGGATAAAAACGACCATTTCCCCATGTCATCCTGTAGTATTGCAGATGCAGCGACAAGGGAGACTTCTTCAACCTTTTAGGGAGGACATCCCGGCTCTCATGATCTCATCCACCAGGTTGGTGGCAATCACAGTACAGGAGTGAAGCAGCTGCTTCTTCACACAGTAGTTATCCCACACACCCATCTCTGCCGCCACCATCGGCTCACCTGTGTTCAAATTCACACACACTAGTTGACCCGATTCTGAATGCTCAGCTTGAACTTTGACTAGTGTTTCCTGAAGGTCAAAACCAGAGTTCTGGGCAAGAACCTTGGGAATAATGAGCAAGGCGTCCGCAAATGCCTGCACTCCAAGCTGAGCCCTGCCCTTCACGCTGGGCTTGTATTTAATCAGAGCTTCTGCCATTGCCACTTCTACTTCACCAGCACCGGGAACAACACAGCCATCAACGATAGCATTTTTGACAGCCATCAAGCCATCTCTTATAGCATCCTTGATTTGAGTAAGCGTGTGCTTATCTGGTCCTCTAACCAGCAATGTGACAGAACGGGGATTATTACATTTCTCAATAAAGGTGAACTTCTCTTCACTCAAGGTATACTCATAGACAAGACCCGCATGTCCCAAACATTCAGAATTAAGGTCATCAAAGGAATTCAGAGTCACCCCACCACAAGCAAGTGTCAGCCTCTCCATGTTTCTCCTCTTGGCCCGACGCAGAGTCACAATGCCTTCTTTTGCAAGGGCATCTAAGGAAAAGGGGTCAATCCCCTTTTGATTAATGACGACAAATCCCTTATCTGAGTCACCACAGACTTTCTTTTTCAGCTCTATTATCTTTTTAACCCTGTCTTCAATGAACTTCCTTTCAGCTTTTACTAGCCTTTCTCTCTCTTCTGCACTCTTATAAAAGAACCCAGAATTCACTTCTGTTATCTCATAATCCAAAGACACATTGTATGTGAGGATGTAGGCATTCTCTACCCTTTTCTTCATAGCAGGATGCGGTGCTCCATGATCCAAAACAAGTCCTCTGATTAAGCTTGTATCAGTTTCAGATTTATGTTTCATCTCCATGATCTCAACCATGAAGAGGTCAATGGGTTCATCTTTTTTCTTAATGGCCAAAATGGAGTCTACCACAGCTTCTGTTAAGACATCTGCAAGTTCAGAATGAACTTTAGTTAGCAGAGATGTTCTGGCCACATCGACGAGTATTTCTCTGTCCATCTCTCTGCTTACTTTCACTTTTTTCACTTTTGTTCCAAAAACTGGAGTGCCCTTTCCTTTGCAGCTTCAAAGCCTTCAGTTATTATCCTGGGGTGAAGACCCTCAGAGATGTAGAGGTCTGCCTGTTTCAGTAGCTCCCCAATGATAAGAACATTGGATGTGGTGCCATCACCTGTTATATCATCCTGGGCTGTAGCTACTTTCGCTATTAAAGAGGCTGTTGGGTGTTGAATTTGCATTTCGTGAAGCAGTACATTGCTGTCTTTGGTAAGGTTGATGTCTCCAGCACCAGAAACAAGCATCTTCATGGTTCCCTTAGGCCCCCACTTGGTCTTCAGAACATCCTGCAGGCCCCGTGCCGCGCTGATGTTCACTGCCAGCGCTGCCTGCGCCCGGGCCACCTCGGCTTTAGGGTTGAGGGTCTTCACCAAAGCCATGGTTGGCCTAGCTCAGGGAGAGGCCCTTACACAACTTCTGATATCAACTTCTGTCCTACCATGAATTAGCTGGGCTGATATATATGCCTAGTCATCAACGAGCTGTAAATGGAGACTGCACTTTGTTTTCCAGCCACATTTACCCGAATAATCACACAGAAACTATATTAATTACAGCAGCGATAGGCACGTGAATCAGGCATGTTCCTAGCTAGCTCTTACATCTTAAATTGACCCATTTCCATTAATGTGAATATTACCATGAAGGTGTGGATTACCAGTGCAGCATGTTACTCCTTCAGTGGCTCCATGGTTTCTCCCTGACTCTGTTTTTTTTTCCCCCCTACGGATTTCTCACCTTGCTAAATTCTGCCCTGCCATAGGCATCTTTATTAACCAATGGTATTCATAGCATACAGAGAAAAATCCCCCATCAGCAAATGAACTAGGTTTGAAAAGGATTATGAGGAGTGCTTTTGTTAGAAGAAGTCTGTCTTTGTAGGTGGGCTTTGAGGTTGTAAAAGCCCACATTAGGCCCACTTTAACTGTTTGGGCCTATGGATCAGGATGAAACTCTCAGCTAATATTCCAACAATGTCCTGAATTCCATCATGTTTCTTACCATCAACCTCTGAAATGGTAAGCAAACTCTTAATTAAATGCTTTCTCTTATAATAGTTGCATTGGTCATGGTATCTCTTTACAGCAATAAAACAGTGACGAAAACAAGATAAGTCTTCATGTTTCTGTGTTTTCCATACCTGTCATTGAGCTTCTCCTAGGTAGACAATGAGCATTCATAACTTGGAGTTCCACTACTTGGAATGAAATGCATAAGATTTAACATATTTTAAACAGAAGTTTACTTAACACTTGCTGAAATCATCTTAACAGTGGACATCAAGTGCTACATTTTTTAAAATTTCTGGTCTACCTGGCCTCTTAGAAGATGAGTCAGTTGCAAATTGATTCTTGGATACTGATTTACTACAAGCCGAAAGAGCTTACATACCTTTTCCCACTTAAAATAAACATGTGAAAGAGGATGAAAGTTTGAAAATTTCTTGTTTCTAGACATTTTCTAGCCTTTTCAGATAACCAAAGTATTTAGCTTTTCCTGGAATGAAAATCTTAGAAGAATTTTATTCTCAATAAATTCTCAATAAGTGATTCTCAACTGATGAAGCTCCCTCATGACTAATTATTAGCTATGGATATTTACCTATGTGACAGAAGAGATGTCATAGTTCTGAACTCTTTCTTAACTCATTAAGTTTACTCAAAAACATGACCGCATGCTGTACCTTTTTGTTACATTACTTAGTCTTAGAACTTGTAAATGTATTTGGTGTCACAAAGTTCTGCTAAGACTGAGCAAGTCAATAAATCTGTAAAAAAAAAAATTATCCTTACTTTTGTATACACAATTCAAGTCATTCATCCTACTGATCTTTAGTCAGTAATGTCACTTTGGTATATGAAAGACAACAAATTATTACTGTAATTCCTTTTGAAGCAATAAAAAGGAACATGCCATAAAGATCTTGTTATATTTGGTTCTCTAATGAAAACAATTAAACTTGCTGTGGTTTTTACATATATACACAAGAGACAGATTGAAAGAGACAGAGAGAGAGACAGAGAAGTATTTTAGCTGTGTAAAATGTTTTTAAATTACCCTTTCCCACTCTTAGGTATAAAGAAATCAAAATCTGACCAGTGAAGTTTTAATTTTATTTGTGAGCATTGAGGAATTGTACCCCAGGACTCTAATGGGATTTAGGTTTTGAAATTTTGTTACATGATTCATAATGCTGACTTTCCTCATGGGTAAACACACTAATAATAATTCTGACTAGTTATTTATTCTTATTCCACGTTAATTCAAAATACATGGTTTTGCAATTTGAAATCACGTGTGATTTTTATATCAAGCCATGAATGAATGAATGAATGAATGAATATTAGATATTTTGACAATTGTCAGAGGTTATTTATAAGTTTGTAATGCTCATAAAAACTGACTCTGAAGTCAGAGGACAGAAGGTAAAACAGCTAGAGAGAGAAATTAGAATTTGATACTACTTGTAAATAAGGGGAACAATCATGAAATAAATGTAGACTATTATAATTTTTGTATTTGGGGAAGATAGTATACCTGATTTGGGTTTGTTTTACTGTTTATTTCAAGATTGGGCTTGAAATATTTACAGCTCTAAATTTATTCATTCCTTGGTCATTGTTATCTCATTTATAATTGTTAGAGAATGGTGATAAAATGAAGGATGACCTATGACTTTGGAATTAATCTACCTCTCTTATCACTCAACCTTGGCAGAAGTATGCTATGGGACACATAAATCAGAAAAGTAACATGGATGCATCCTTATTTGATATGCTGGCATAGAGCTGTCTCTGTGGTAATATGTTCTTTAATGCTCTGTTGAACTTGTTCTCTTCAGTGAAATGAAAATGCATGTGTTTGACATACTTGGTCTACTTGGTTGTTTGATAAAATGAGATTTTCCTTACTCTTTTTTTTTTCCTTCATTTTCCACAAAAGCTGCCAGTGCCCATTACTTAAATTAAGCTGAGAGTGTATGCAGATAGTTTTAAAAAATGGTCATTCAGGAAATGTTCTTTTCTCCTTACTTTTTGCACAGTCAAATAGTGATCTAAGTGAAAGTGGTATGTTGGATATAGACTAAAAAGCCATTTAACATCAAAAGTTTTTAGCATCTTAACTTGTCTGCTATCCTTCTACTTACTTGAGATCTATTATGAACACTTTCTTCACATCTCTAAATAAGAGAACAATGTTTGGGTTTAGTGTTAAATTTTCATGTATCAATACATAAAATTTCAGGTATCAATATGTCTTAATAAGACATGTACAAATATTCAAACATGTATTTCTCTTAGGAATGATGCTTATAAGAGTCAATTGATTTATATTGTTCTCAGAGAGACTATTTTAAAGTGCTTCATATGCCAAGAAAGAATTATAAGAAGAAAGACTCCTTCTCTCTTATGTTATATAAAAAGATGAATTGTGTATTCTAAAGGGAATTCTACTATTTTGGTCTCTGAATTATTGTTTGCTTTAGAATTACTATGGTATGTTACAGAGGCAAACTAGTTGCTATTTTGGGCAGAATTTATCACCGAAGAAGGAGAAAGCTATTCCCCCAATCATCTGTGTATACCATAGGGTCGATTACAACAGTATGTGATCCGCTGTAATTCTTACTTTTTTTTCTTCCTAATTAACAAGTGTCATTTGGAAGAGTTAGTTGTAATCTAGGAATAAACAAACTTTAAAAAGATAAGCTCCCAAATTAGTGTTTTCACGTTTAATTTTTAGAACAGTCTTGAGTTTCTTGTATTTATTGAGTTCAATTAACTTCATAAAGACTGCAGCCTATTTTGATGCTTTGCATAAATTTCATGATTTAGCACTTATAGTAGGAGGGAAAGAAAATCTCTTTCTGTTGTTACATGTTTTTTTTTATTTAATAGTTATTTGGATAAAGGTCTTTGTTCGAATTTATCTTGAATTAATTAAATCTGTATTGAATTAATTATTCATTTATTTATTATTAATTATTCATTTATTTTAAAAGCCATAAAGTAAAACATGTTTGGATATGAATACTGAAAATGTAGAGTTTAGCAATTATTGCTCTGCAAACTTGCTGAAGTTGGACACACTCCAGATCTAGCAAATTAACAATCCACATGACGCAAGAAGGAAATCCTTTTCAACATAACTCAGCTGCCGGTATTGTTTCAAACTTCTAAAATCTTACCCCAGACAATTTATTTTAGACATATTAAGTACAGTACTCTGGAAAAAACTTTCCTGGTGACATAAACACAATAAATCTCAAGGTGTGAATTCAAGTTTCCTGGTGACAATGATCACAATAAAGTTGATTGTGTGACCTCATCAAAACTCTCTTGCAAAGTACATGTAACCTTTTCCAAAGAATGGGTTCTATTGACTAGGAAACTATGCTCAGGATAAAGGAAGGAGAAGTTTTGAGATAACATAAGAGTCTGGGAAATTTTGTAGTGGCCTGTTTCTGAGCTAGCACAGATCACCAGGCTATTAATTACAACTATTGTCAGCTTTCAGGTTGGAAATATGTATGCATCCCTTCCATTGAAGGGACAACCATGCGTGAATAACATTCCTGGTTTCCTTTGTGTTTATCTGTGAGCACAAGGATCTCTTACCCTCTAAACAAACATAGTGTATTAGTACTTTTCTATTGATGTCATAGAACACCTTGACCATGGAAATCTATAAAAGAGTTTATTTGGTTTGCAGTTAGAGAGGGCTAAGAGTACATCATTGTGGAGAATTTTGGTAACAAGAAGCAGATTAATGTGGGATTCCTCTGTGTATGCTATGAGTATGTTTTGTTACCATTGGTTAATAAATAAGCAGCTTCAGCTTATAGCAGGGCAGAAGATAGCCAGGCTGGAAGAGGTATTGTAAGACAGTAGGCAGAGTTGTTGAGACACCATGTAGTTGCTGAAGGAAATAGATGCCCAGAATCTTTACCAGTAAGCCACAGCCTCATGGTAACACACATATTAATAGAAATGGGTTAACTCAAGATGAAAGAGCTAGCTAGAAATATGCCCAAGTCATTGGTCAAGCGATATTGTAATTAATAAAGTTTCTGTGTGATTATTTGGGTTTGAGCAGTTGGGGAATGAGTGAGCAGTCTGTGCCTACAGCAGACAAAGAAGCTGGAACAGTAGCTGAGAACTCAGACCTTAAAATGTAAATAGGAAAGAGAGAGAGAGAGAGAGAGAGAGAGAGAGAGAGAGAGAAATTTTGTAGTGTCTCTATTTTTTCCCTCAGAAACATTTTTCACATATCTCCTGCAAGAAGAAATGTGCTGACCAATAATTTCCAGTTGTGATTATGTTATGTGTATGTTCAAATTTTATAAGGAAGCAGATGCTTACAAATCAAAATATACAGA